TGAAAATAAATGCCACTCTTGCGCAGTAGTAGTCACTCATTCCACTTTAGGAAAAGGATAAAAACGCTTGGAGACATATCATATCCCTGTGATAGAGAGCTCAGCAGTAAAGCTATAGCATGGTCCATTGAGGTCAAATGATAGTATCTAGTTTGTGATCTGTTCTAACATCACATGACATCATGTCTCTGTGTGTCTTGGCTGGAGACATCTTGTTATTGATCTCTGCATCCTTCTCCATCAGGCCAGGCAGACAGAGATAGATCCTGTTCGGTCCATGTAGATACACTTGAGTTGAAACCCTCCTACATATATAAAATGTGCCCATATTTAATTAATCCATGAAAATGAAGTGTGTTAAAAAAAATTACTATAATTCCCCTAAGACTCATTCACCTGATTCTCATGCTAGTCATACTATTTTATTGATCCCATTCATAAAATTATTAGGACACTGGCCATGATTCTCTCACAATAAGCTCCCACACTTGGCCCAGTTTCTATTAAAGACATGAGACTGTTGAATTTTATCGCTGAGCTACTGTAAGTCTCGGCCAATCACATTACACAACAGTGCCCCAAGGAGAGCTAAAACACAATCTACTGCATTTGTATATTTGTATCAGCCACAATGGGAGCATGACAGAAAAGAAAAGAAGACAACGTAATTTTTCCTCAGCTTTATCTATCTATCTATCTTGGATGTGCGTGATGCAGGTTATTTGTTGTGCTGTCAGTGCAAATTATTTAAAGCAGCTCCTGTAATTACTGCAGGAGATAATCACTTAAACACCTGAAATATTAATATACACAGAGGCAGGAGGCATGATCAATATTAATCTTGGCTCACACACAAACACATGCGCGCGCACACAAAACACAACATAACACACATTTACTGCATAAACTCACATTAATAATTAAGATAGGTTCAAGCTCTGAACACGTCAGCATGAATACAAATGCCAGGGATTTTGTGAACAAATCACTGAGCTCTGAAATGAGTGATCAGATGTCACTGCTGTTCGGCATGTGAAGGAAAATTCACCACAGAACAGATTTAAGTCATGTTATTCCTTATCCCTGGTGAGCTTACAGTAACAGGCGTAAATAAATCTCTGCCAAAGAAAACACCAAAAGAGCCAATGATGTCCAGATTGAAATGTCTTGCTCATGGCCAACTGACAGAGAGTAAAGCGGCTCTGAATGGTGAGAAAATTGTAGACGTGGGGCTCTAATCAGAGATGGAACAGTGACATTAAAAAGTTGTGACAGTAAGGTAGTTTTTCTATGTGAGTTGGGGTGACAGAAAAAAAAATGTGCGGTGACAGCAAGGCATTTTTAAAGCTGTCAGCTATGACAGTAACAGCACTTGTAAAGGAACGCCCTCTATGCTAATTCTAACATATGCAGAGGCAGTGCAAAATGGAGTCAAGGGACACCAACTGTCTGCGATATGAGTCGATGCTCAGCAGATAAACCCATTCATGTCTCCACGCTATGCAAGGCAAGGCAAAAAAAAGAGTGACAGTATTGACAGGATTTGTTGTAGTGTGCAAATTTCTGCAGAAATAAAGGGACGCTTTTATTTTGTAATTCCTTCTTTTATTCCTGCCGTCTTCCCTCACACTTCCTTTTACATCTTTTTCTCTCTGCCCTGTCCGTCCTCTCTTGCACTGCTACTTTTACTGCCCCCTCTCCCTCAAGTGGGGTGCATGGCCTATCGCCATAGTAACAGACAGCCATGACAGGTGGAGATAGCAGGTAGTGCGGCGATGCATGACTCCCCCTGGGACTGCAGAATGCCAACACTATAGAATGAGAATGAGCAGAACATGCCCTCTTATACAGACTCAGCCAGTGTACGGGGTGTACATTCAATTCATTGAAGCTTATCATAAGAGGGGTCCATGCCTTATCTGTATTCCGCACATGCAGCAAAGCCACACTGCCATTGTTTCACTGTGCGGCTGGACAGAGGAGTTCAGTGGATTGAAGCATGTTGTGTGTTTCTATTTCATCGCTCTCTATGGCCAGATCTGAACCAGGCTGAACCAGGGAAAGCCAAGCCAATCTGTGTCATGTCAATGAAGGACTGGATGTTACGCTAACAAGATCCTGCAAATCCTCTGCCAGGGGCTGCAGCAAAACTGGTCTCTCTATAATATGTAATTGAATTGGTTCAGTCTCAAAGATGGGAAATGATCACACACTAATCTCTGTCTCACACACACACACACACACACACACAGACACACACACACACACACAGACACACACACACACACACACACACACACACACACACACACACACACACACACACACACACACACACACACACAGACCAACCATTTAGCAACTTATTTACATGCACATACTGCAGACACACACATAATTTTTGCTCACACATGAATTAAATGACTCCAACACACACTGATACCATGTTCAGCACCCCATGGCTGCACTGGTCTGTCAGGGATTTCTCCCACACTTGACCACTGCAGTAGTTGCACAAGTGGAGGAGCTGGACAAAAGCTAGAGTTTTGTGAGTTGGATGCAAAAAGACACGCGTTTCTTTTCTACAGAAAGCAGCTCCTGATCCTCACTAGAAAGTTATCGGAAGATTGAAAACTGGTAGATGGTAGTAAAGGGGAGGAGCAAACAAGCAAGATACCTTTTAATGAGATGACAGCTTACATCCTGCTTTAGTGGGTGCATGAACATTTGCCACGAGGAGAGAGTGATGAGAGAAAGGCACAGCAGAGGAAGAAAGAAACAAAGACAACCAGTAGACAGCGCGGGCAATACTGTACCCCTCCGAGACTCACCATGAGCAAACACACGGCTGATTCAGGGATGAGTTGGACAGCCATGATGGGATCCTCCTATAGATTCTTGCGAAAAAAGAAACCTCGCCAATTTCCTGGATGGACTCTCTTCGTTATCCTCTTCCTCCTTCTTCTTACTCTGAGTCTTCAGTCGGGAAGCAGGCTCACCTCTGTCCAGATGAAGTCCCTTGACTGGTCCTCCCACTCAGTGTCCTTAACCACCACCTCCCTTTGCTTTTCAGTCAGTGCTGCAGACAACCTCTGGTCTCTAATTGTAATGCCACAGTCTCTGGAGAGTCTGTGACTCCCTAGACTCTCCAGAGTGAAAAGCAATCCTCCGTCTTCCAGTTTTTTGATCCCAGAGCAGAGCAAACACCCCCCCCCCCCCACTCCTCCTTTCACTTTTAAAACACTCCCTGCAGACCCCACGCCCACCTCCCCCAAACCCCTGTGACTCGGGTGCCTCTCGCTAAATGCTCTCCTCCCTCAGTTGCTGCCTTCTGCCTCCCAACACAAAGCACATCCAGGCGTGCACGTGGATCTATCTGCTTTCTCCTGAGGCTGTCCTGTCGCTGCTCCAGAGGATGCAACCTGCATCAGTGATGCTCCCCAGCCTTGAAGCACTGGTGGGAAAGACAGACGCTCACCTCTCCACTCAGAGATCCAGTGCAGAGAGCTCCCCTTTACACCAATCTCCCCGCCTCACATATCATCAGCATGAGACAAGGGCAGAGAGGGAAGCAAATAAAGGAGAGTATAATAAATGGTTTCAGAAGGACAGAGGATGAGGTAAAGGAAGCCAGGAGGAGAGATGTTGTGGAGAGCAGCCACTGGTAAGAGAGGTCCACACTGTGCTGAGCGTAAATGAGGGTGGGTGGAGAAGAGGGAGGGGTGAGAGCAATAGAAATGCAGAGAGTGAGAACAGACCGCGCCTATCGATGCCGGCTGAAAAAGCAAGGCAGCATGGGATATGAGTAAATACACTTCAGTTTGCTTAATGAAAGGGCTGTAGATGTGAGACTGTGCACACACAGTATAGATCCATGATAGCTGATGTGTCCACAGGAGCCTATGCCTGAGACTGTGATTTTTCTAGATCAGCGTTTGACATCAATAATTTAGACAGACAACAGTCTCAGCGTGGCTTTTGTCTTGCGTGTGCAGGGAGGGAGCATGCAGGGCAGAGAGACAGAGGGATGAAGAGAAGTAATGAGAAAGAGATTCTAGGAAGAAGGTCAGGAATCATGTAGGTGTAAGACCAAAAGCAAGGCTCAGTGCAGTAGCTGTAGCTCAGCTTAAATATTGTGAACATGTAATTATCTCCATGATGGGCAAATGTGTATGCATGCGTATGTTGCTGTGGATGTTTGAATGAATGTGTATGTGTACTTACATCTTGAAATATATTTAATAATTTTTTCTTAAAAGAACTTGCAGGCTAATAACTAGTTGTAACTGGTTTCATTACATCTATTTAATCCAATGTGAGTGAGTTATTATTTGTGAAATGTCTCACTAAATCCTGTGTTTAGCAAAAAAACAAAAAAAAAACAAAAACAAAGGGCAGCCACTATTCAGAGCTTAGCACTCAGAATAATGGAGAAAGGATAATTCACCTTTCACTCACAAGACCTTGAGTGAAATGTTGTGATTTGTTAACTTAATAATAGGTCACATGTTTATTCTTTATCTATATTGAGGCTCATTCAGAACTGACTCAAATAAAAGCTGCAGTGTGAGCAAAACTTCCTAGATGACACCGAAAGATAAAAACAACTGGACTGAAAGTTTATAACACCACACCTTCAGATAATCACCATAAAAATAATGACACAAGAAGAAATATATTTCAGTATGTGGCTGTATTTAATTCCTACAAAGAAAAAAGTCTAATGCAGTTGTATGTTTATTTATGTTTTTATTTTAAAATATCATTATTACATTCCTTGTAGAGAATTGCAGTCAAACTTTGCTGGTGGAAGCATTTTGATTCATTCTTTCCACAGTATTCTTCTTCATCCAAAAAACAAAAGACTAACAGGAAGTGTGACCGACACTATTCTCAATACCCACTTCATACTTGTGGACTGAGCAGACCATGCAGCTCAAGTTTCTCAGTTTTAATCCCACCCCTCAGCTATTGCATCATTCTAGAAAATCAGGAAGTAACAGCTCTTAACGTCTCTGTTCTCTTACAGCTTGAGTGTGACAGACTCCCAACTCTTGGATTTTTATGTGGACAACCCGTGAAGGGATATAAGGTAAATACACTTCAGTTTGCTTAATGAAAGGGCTGTACAAGCCAGATTTTTAATAACATAATGAGAACAAGACACACCAGAGAGATGTTGATGGAATGTGTGTGTTATGTGCTTGAACATAGGTTGAACCTCTTAGCTGCTGCTCTTACTCACTCTGACTGTATAAACAAGAACACAGTACAAGCAGTAATTGCAATGCAGTGTATACAAACAAATGTATAAGTAGCTGCTTAACACTTTCATTTATGTTTCATTTCTTTTTTTTTTAACATAAAATATAGATTTGAGGATTGCAGTCTTAGCAGGAGATGGCGCTGCCGTGCCACATGACTGTGGTCCCTGATGATTTGGAAAAGAAATGGATGTTTCTCGGTCGTGGGGGATTTGGTTGTGTCTACAAGGCCAGGCACAAGGGATTGATGTTTGATGTGGCCATTAAGCTACTAAATGATGATGTTCGGTAAATTTATAAATATCTATAAATATTCTGGAGGACTTATTTTAACTTAATAATTCATGCACAACCAGGGTAAATAGGAGTTCAAGTAACACTTTTTCTTTTGCTTTCTCTCTACTTCAACCCTTATAAGGTGTTCTTCCAGCACCCTTGTGCCCAAGGAGAAAGAACTGTCTAAAGAGGTTAATCACATGGATCAGGCTTCCTGTGAGTATGTGCTGAGGGTTTATGGAATTTTTGAGGGAATTCCGCCAATTGATGGATTCTCCATGGTAAAAGGAATAGTTATGGAATACATGGACAGAGGATCACTTGAGACCCTGCTAGAGGAACTGTCTGGCCCTCCACCGTGGCCCCTGGCCTTCCGCTTGGCCCATGAAGTGGCTCTTGGCATGAACTTCCTCCATTCAAGGGAGCTTGTCCACCAGGACCTGAAAACAAGCAATGTACTGCTGACTGATGAATTTCATGCCAAGGTAGAGTGCCATTTACCTAAGCACTTGAGTTTATATGAAATAAAGCTTATTTGAAGCTTATTTAATTGTTTGTGTCTGTTTTTTTTCTCAGTAGCTAGCAGACTTTGGTCTGTCCAGGGTTTCAAACAGTGCTATTAACAGCAACAGAGAAACGACAGGAGAGGAAGGAGGCTCATACAAGTACATGCCTCCTGAGGCATTGCTTAATGCTTCTTATATACCTAGCCGTGCTTTTGACAGATACAGGTAAACATTCAAATCAATATTTTTAAATAGGAATACTGTATGGTTCAAATCTTGAACAGTTTGAACACGTTACTAAAAAGTGTTTGTCTCTTTTGATCAGCTATGGCATCTTTCTCTGGTCTCTTTTTACTGGGAAAGAGCCCTATCCAAGTGCGTATAATTCAATTTTTATTGTCTTATCATTTTTTTGTTTGATAATCACTGTTTCCCTCATAATTCATCACTTTACAACCAAACAAAGCATGTTCATTTCACATGTACAGTATGTACACAAATTGTGCATTTGTGTTTTTGCATGTTTTGATGCATTTCTTTGTTATATCACATGTACAACAGGGGCTCAAAGGGATCTTGTGGAAAACAAGGTTGGCAAGCAGGGGCAAAGACCTCCCTGCGATGCACTTAAACAGGAGAAGGTAGCAGGGTTAGAAGATCTGGTTAAACTCATGAACTCATGCTGGGACCACGATCCATCCGAGAGGCCAACATTTAAGGGTATGTATTCGTTATGGCGAATATACATAGGCTACTCACTGTCACCATAATAAAACATTTGCTACAAGATGAACTTGATGCTTCCACCTGCCTTATTTCTGAAACCACAGTTCATTAATGCACACTGTAATTTAAAATGAGACTTGGTTTATGTTTCAGCCTGCCTTGAAGTTACTGAGATGGTTTTCTTAAACCACAAGGGCAACGTTCGTGGTGCAGTCGATCAAGTCTTGGTACAAGTCATAAATTTCATGTCAGAAAATGAAAGTGCTGATTAATCATGAATTATACTTTATAGGAAAAACTTCTAATTGGTTTATTTCTTTCTGTTTCTGTGTGTGTGTGTGTGTGTGTGTGTGTGTGTGTGTGTGTGTGTGTATTTTTTCCCTCCTTATTTTAGGTTTCACTGAATCCAGATCTAATCAGAAGTGTGCCGCCCAGTATTCCTCGTCAGACACCAGGTAGACTCTTAAATACTGTCTGTGGGTTGGGTGAGTTCAATCTCATAAATGATAACCTTACTTTCCATTATAAAACATCATGCAGATGATTCTCTCTCTTTTGTTTTCAGAACAGTCAGGGTCAGATGATACTATGGATGGTATAACTGAGAGGTTTTCAACACAGGTATGCCAAATGCACTTTGATCATTGCCTCACTGGAACATGAAAAGAAACTATGTAACTTTATTTTTAAAAGTTGTTGGGTCTGAGCTCTACCTCATGAGCTGGACACCAACTATGTGTTGAATTTTGGTTGTTTATCAATTTATTGGCTATCATAAATTAAGAAAATATTAATATTAAAAATATTAATATTAAATAATAACTTTAAAATTAATTAAAGTTCACGGGGCACCAGCCTAAACTAATAGGCAAAATAGCCAATATGGTTTTAGTCTCAAATTATTACCATTAATCTGGAACTCTGATTAACAATTATCTTACTAACTATAACCAAACTACCAAATCAACAGTAAGTTAAAGTTGAAGGATTGGAATTCTACAAAGTAGAGGTTGGCAATATTCACGCTTGTGCAACATTAAACACACCAGTAGTTATACTTAAAGGCATTTATTTACCATGGAGCAGAGTAAAACACAATGTCTGATCTAGTATATACAGGTGTGTGTATGTGTGTGTGTGTGTGTGTGTGTGTGTGTTTGTGTGTGTGTTTGTGAGGACACAAACAAAGGCAAGATGGCCGATTCAAAGTGGTCACTGTGACCACATGATCTGAACAAAGAAGACTACACAAGATGGCGGTAAACAAAGAAACTACTCAAAATGGCCGCTGAGACCACCTGGGGTGTGTGAGAGGGAAGGTGTGAGTTTCTTTGTTAGCCTAGCTCATGTAATCTAAAGGTACCAGGTTAGAGGGAGGAGGTTAGCTTCATGCAGGTTCTAGAACTGAGACGTACTACTATGTGTGTGAACATACGTGTACCTGATTAACTGTATGACTGACCACAACCTAAGCAAACATTACAACAACAAGACATCAATCAACAAGTACATTAACAAAGTTAAGACTTCTGCTGCTTAGTTATGCTGTGCTGTGCTATGCTGTGCTGGGAAAGGTTAGGCCCAGTCAGTTAACGTTACCCAGTCCTGGAAACCAGCAAAGAGGTCCTTTCCAGTGTTGGTGTAAAGTCCAGTGAGTTAGGAAATTTCCTAGTGGAGTAAAGTCCTGTCTGGCTGTGTTACTTTGCAGTTATCTCCTTTGTTCTCCTCACAGAGTTAGCTGTTCCATGCTAACTCTGCTACAACTCCTGTTGCTTGGAAAACCAGCTGGCCTTGTGTCGTAGCTGCTGATTCTGAAGAGAACTTGGTTCACTCACAGTTAATCCGAAGCAGGTCGCTGCTATTGAGGAGAATAGTGTTTGCAGGCTGCTGGTAGCGGGCCGGCGAGAGAGCTGGTTTCTCAGGTAGCAGGGCTGATCTGGGCTGGGGCCTTATTGCCCTTTGAAGAACTGAAAGGAGAGAGCTGGAGCTGCTCTCCAGAGCAAGCCAAAGGAGAAGAGAGCAAGAAGAGGGCCAGAGATCTGGTTTTGTTTGGTGACACCCTTGGGGGTCACATGTCACACGCTGACCCACACTGGCTGGCCAGTAAGGTCTGTGGGGGGAGGGGTCGTCCCCAGGTGTGAACGGTGAGGAACTGTGGAGTGTGAGTTCCTTTGTCCAGTGGAGCAAAGAAACATTTGGTCTCTTGAATGATTGAGTCCCAACAAAGTAATATCATTGAGATCGAGTAGTAAACAAAGAAAAACAAGTCAGATTAGGATTTATGTTCAACTATTTAAGTTTATATTTTCATATTTTTTTATATTTCCCTTAAACTGTTATCATACAATGCATGTATTAGTTCACAGTATAGTAACTTTTTACTTTTGCCAACAGGAATTGGACAGTGGTTCTGCTGAAACAATGAGTGATAAGGATAAAGGTGAATATTTTTGTCACTGAACTGATGCTTGAAAAGTTTTTTTGTTGACATTTCCTGTGTGTTGTAAAAAAAAAAATCAAATGAGTAGGCCTATGACTTTGGCATTTATGAAAGGTCACATTTATAATTTAATCATGCTTTTTATTTCATTCTTCTTCATTTTCAAACAGCAAAGTTTGTTGATGACAACAAGTTCACGTTAATTGAAAAAGTCACAAAAGTAATGGCTATAGTAGCGGAACTTGGCGACATGATCCACAGCGAACTCCAGACAGATATCGCCGTTACACCGAAACCCCAGGAAAAAATGAGAATTCTTGTTGGAACTATATTACGTTCAAATGTGGAAAGCGTCACAGCTGCCTTCTACAATGCCCTCAAGAAACATCAGCCTGGACTAGTGAAGGAGCTCGGTACAATTTGCTCTTCTTAAAGCAGTCAAACATGGTTTCTTCTAATACAAGTTATTCAAATTTTTAATTTGTATTTCATTTCTTTCAGATGGATAATTCTAAAGCAGGACGTGTCAAGGATCTTGCTCATCTTTTATATATTGTATGTTTGTGTATATGTAATATGTCATTTATTTTCCATTGTTGACATTATGAAGCTTGTTTCTTCCAGTGGGTGAGAGAGAGAGAGGGAGAGAGATAGAGAGAGACTGTGTAAGAGGCTTTTCTGGTTCAATCCCTCAGTAACTGTCACAAGCAGTCAGTCAGTCAGTCACCTGCAGATGAAGGTGTCGAGGGCAACCTAGGCAACAAAGTTACTCTCCCATCTCAGTTTAATGTACACGTTTGTTGTTCACTGTTCTCATGCTGAATAATGGTCCAAACAATGAACTGTTGAATACAAAAATTTTTGAATACATCTTATATTGGATATAACCAACACTATTCTCCACTAAGCCTATTTTGTTATGTGCACAATGAGCTTTGGGAAGCCACTCTGTCATCCAGTTTAAAGTTTAAAGACTCAATTCCAACATGTTGCTTTTAAAGGTTCTGCCTTTAGTCACACACTCAGAGACACTTGTGTGTATTTCTCTCTCTGTCTGTCCCAAAGGACCAAGACCTGCCACGTAACAGCATACTGGGACTTGACCTTTGTTTCATTCACAGCTCCGTCTCCTTGAGCTCTGCAAAAACACACACACACACACACACACACACACACACACACACACACACACACACACACACACACACACACACACACACACACACACACACCTTCACACCATGGTAATCCTCTGAGGGGAAAGTGTGTTTAAGTGTCATCTTGACCCATCCTTCTCTTCCTCAGTCCTACTGCCTCACTCCACCCTACACACCCATCTCACCCCACCCCATGCTGTATTAATGCTCCCAATCCTCTTTGTGGGAGAGTGACGTCTGCTACTGTCAGAAACAGAGTTAAGCTCAGCAGGCACCAGGAGAACGGAGTGGAGAGAAGCTCCCAGCCTTAGGGATAACCAAGCAGCACTGCATTCTGGTCCTCCAGGGGGAAGAAACTCTGCCGCCTAAGCAAGACCTGACTCTCATCCCCAGCGGCTGCTCATGCCTCCAGCTGGGGAAAATACAGGGAACTCTAAATTTGGTTTGTCAAGATAGTTGGCTTCATCAGCAGGTTAGCTAAATACTCCGCCACCCTGCCAGAGGGCCTTGATGGCCTCTAAGGATGAGTGCTGAGAAGCTGGAATACAATCTCTTCCCTGGGCAAACAACATTGTTTTAAGAGACTTTTGTTGCTGCTGCTTCTGTGTTTTTAAGATTTTTGAAGAAAAAAAAAAACAACCCAGAAATCTTTCATCTTTTTCATGCAGGTGATCCCGTGAAATCTTGTGAGATCTTGTGAAATCTTCTATTTTTGGTCATTTTGGTTTAACTGCCGTACTGGCAACAAAACAGATGGCAGGACAGCTTCCTCCCATGTCAGGTGTGTCTGAAAGGTGTGTGTGTGAACATGCACTCAAAGCATCGGGTGTCTATGAGTGCCTATAATTGAACAGCAATCTGAGTGTGCTGGTGTGTCTCTACTGGGAGCCGCTGGGGCCACTGTTTACTTGGAGTGTGAGGGTGTGATTTTGTTAATGTGTATAATACAAGTCAGAAGTGCTTGAAGAGTGTGTGTGAGTGTGCGTGTGTGAGGTGGTGGGGCCCTGTGGAGGTTGTAGCCCTGGATTTCCTCGAGATGGAGGGTCATGGTTATGACCGGTTTGGAGATGGGGAGAGGGACAATTACCAGATTGATTACCGGAGGATTGTAGGAGACATGGAACCAGCTCGGCCACGCATCTCAAACAGGGATGGGGAACAACCTCACCCCTATGGGGCCTATGCTCACCCAACGCCACATGGACATGGGCATGAGACAGCAGCCCAGCGATACAGCGCTACACGAATCCAAGCTGGATATGAACCAGAAAGGTCAGTCTCACACTCACCACTCTGTATAGCCAGTAAGGTCATGACTTTTACAGCACTCCAGACCTTCTCTAGCCTTATAAATCATAAGAAAATGTATCTTCATGAGAAACCAAGATGTTTTCTGATGTTTTCCTAGTAGCCTTGGCTGTGCGCTTTTTCAAGTCCATTTATCAGCTTCCTTGGCAGCCAACCAAATCCTCTTACTTACTGTACTGCCGTCATAAGTGTATAGAAGGAGTTTCCATTGACAAGGACGGATTCTTTTTGTTAGCATTTCCTGTCTTGACTCCAACATTTGTAATAGGATCTGGTTACAGCATGTGAAATAGAGGTCAAGAGAGAGAAGAGCAAAACAACATGCATGTTTTACACAAGGGATGAATATATCCAGCTATAAATAGCTGGCTAAATCAATGTTTGTTTGTTTTTCAGTGAGATTTGCTCATGATTTATGCACACTGCTTGCAATCACAGGAAGTATTAGACTGAAGATTCAGTTAAAATAGGCAATGACACGTTCATTAAATTATTAAAAATCTGTAAGAAGTACTACAACTAATGTCAATTCAAATCTAGAAGCTGTGAAGTTAGTTCATGATAGAAATACAAGTGTCATCTATTCATTGTTATATTGTTACACACTTACATGCGTGTGTTTTAATATTTCAGCATGGCAGACTACTTGATCAGTGGAGGCACAGGTTATGTTCCTGAAGACGGGTTAACAGCACAACAGCTCTTTGCCATCGGAGATGGACTAACATACAAGTGAGAAATGCTCATGAAAACACACACACAGATACATTTTAACGGTATTACTAACACACTTACGCAGATGCATGTGCACAAATGGTACAACATGCATGTGCACATACAGAAGCACACAGAATTATGCAATGTCTTCCATTAAATGTTCAGCAATATCAGTGATGACACATCTGCTTAGGTTTTATATGGAGGATTATAATGAGTAATATGACTTTCAAGGATGACTCTGAGTGGTGTCACAGTCATTAAAAGCAGGGTCTGTGTGTGTGTGTGTGTGTGTGTGTGTGTGTGTGTGTGCTTGTGGTGTGTTAATGGGAGATGAGTGTAGTTTCCTTAATGGAGGTTATATGCAGGGTTCATCAGTGTGCAGAGGATAAATACAGAACATTTCAGTGAGTTGAAAGGCTGACAGATTATGTCTGCTCACTATGAGCTAAATGTTAAAAAAAACTACTGTTCACATACACCATGAAAGCTATATGATGCTCGTTTATGTAGTGACTTTCACTACTAATACTGATGATTAATTCAATTTATGTAACGCTTTTCCACTTCTAATGTAAGATGTTCTCATGTTCTACCCTCTGACCACATGTGTCTCCTCTCTCTCTCCCCTCTCAGTGACTTTTTGATCCTCCCTGGTTTCATAGATTTTACCTCTGATGAGGTGGTGAGTATCACACTGTCCAGCCTATCACAGTCCACATATGCTGTTCCCAGGCTAGCGCATAGTACATTGTGGATTAATTTGTTCATAGATGATAGCACAAAGCATAGTTTCTATGGATAAACGTGAGCAGTCTCATTTGTCATAGACGAAAGGGGTCACAGTAAGTTTTCTGCATGTAAGGTGTCTCTACTGTTGTAGTCATGTCAGTCCTTTGGGCTACAGACATACTCTTGTCCTCTAGTGTTCGTTGATATTCATGTTCTTCATAATAATTTGAAAGCACAGTTTGCTGTAATCCTTGTAATTAATCCTTCACTCTTTGTTATGTTCGTTAGTGAAGGGTGCTTGAGCACAGGGTTGTTTATTTGACTTGCTTTGTTTTTGTCTTTGCTCGCTCTGCTGGGACATTAAATTAATTTCATGCCTTGGTCACATGGGTTATTGCTGAAAAGCAGGTGTTCAAAACAGACGCACACCTGCGTCATCTAACACTCAGTAGGTGAAATCAGCGAGTCGGCCTCTAATGTGTCTAAACTGTGATGCCTTTGTGGTGCAGCTGTTTGTGAGGAAAGTAATGTCATGCTGATTTATCTCCCAGCATCCAAGCCCACACCTTTGGAGTAATTTAGAATGTGTTACAGCAGACCATTTAAGATTATATTTTAGACTTTGCTTTACATGCTTATCAGTGTTTAAGATGGTGTTTCTGTTTCCAAATGCACCACACTTTTAGGATCTAACCTCTGCACTGACAAGGAAGATCACCCTGAAGACACCTCTCATTTCATCTCCCATGGATACAGTCACAGAGTCATCCATGGCCATCGCCATGGCAGTGAGTACACAGCACTACCCTACACACACCATACATAAATGTTCACTCAACTTAGCAACAACATGCTCCACAGTCTGTGGCAAGAACAGCAAAACCTTCTACCTTTGAATATTATTTAATATGGGGTTTTCTTCTCTTTTTTTTTTTGCCCCTCTATCTCTGATTGGCTGGTTTCAGCTAATGGGAGGGATTGGAATAATTCACCATAACTGTACAGCTGAGTTCCAGGCCAATGAGGTGCGCAAAGTCAAGGTAAGACTGACCAAGTCAACAAAGACATGAGTAAGTTATCTGTGACACTGAATGTCACTTTGAAAACACTCTACACTGAAACCTCCTAACCACTCAACATTTGTGTTTTTCAGAAATTTGAGCAAGGCTTTATTACAGACCCGGTGGTAATGAGTCCCCGACACACAGTGGGGGATGTGTTTGAGGCCAAGATACGCCATGGTTTCTCTGGGATCCCTGTTACGGAAACCGGCAAGATGGGTAGCAAGCTGGTCGGCATTGTCACCTCCAGAGACATAGACTTTCTGTCTGAGAAGGATCATGACAGACCCCTGGAAGAGGTGGGCACATAACTGATGTGTTTATATGTGCATGTGTAGGAGAACATGCAGCAGTTACATGATGTCAAATAAGTCCAATCATTTGAACCTCTTTTTCATTCAGGCAATGACAAAAAGGGAAGATTTAGTTGTTGCACCAGCTGGAGTCACACTAAAGGAGGCTAACGACATACTGCAACGTAGCAAAAAAGGTAAATCTGTCAGAGAAGTCACACTACTGTAGAGGCAAAGTAATCAACAATTGAACTTAGATACAGACTGATTTTTTTGCTCCTTTGTGCACTCATTTTACACTCTGACTCTTTTAGGTAAGCTCCCTATTGTAAATGACAGTGATGAGCTGGTTGCCATCATTGCCAGGACAGACTTGAAGAAGAATAGAGATTATCCCTTGGCTTCCAAGGACTCCCGCAAGCAGCTGCTGTGTGGGGCTGCCATCGGTACGAGAGAGGATGACAAATATAGACTGGACCTCCTAATGCAGGCTGGGGTGGATGTGGTTGTCCTGGTAGGTTTTAACTGAGGACTGATCTAGTTTTTTTTTTTTTTTAATCTATGATTGCATTCTGGATGTAATAGCACACGATGTTCCTATTTATTGTTTTGACTCAACTTAAAATCTGTAATGCATTTTATTGGTGCTTCATCTTTCATTGTAAGTATTTCAACTATTTTATCGACAGGACTCCTCCCAGGGAAACTCAGTGTATCAAATCAACATGATAAACTACATCAAACAGAAATACCCTGAGCTACAGGTTGTTGGAGGAAACGGTGAGCTCATCTTTGTTCTTCTGGGCTTTCTTCTGCATTTGTGGAGTCAAAACTACCTCTTTACTATCTCCTCCTCATTCAGCTTTTTTCTGTGTCTCTGTCTCTCTCTAGTGGTGACAGCTGCTCAGGCCAAAAACCTCATAGATGCAGGCGTGGATGCCCTGAGGGTGGGCATGGGGTGTGGCTCTATCTGTATCACCCAGGAAGGTATGATAAAGAGTGCAGTACTGTGAACATCTACTGTCTTTAGATTACATTTTTTTGTGTGACTAATACTTATTTTACTCCTGTTCCTCAGTGATGGCATGTGGACGGCCCCAAGGAACATCAGTGTACAAGGTTGCAGAGTATGCACGACGTTTTGGAGTGCCAGTAATCGCTGATGGAGGCATTCAGACTGTTGGCCATGTGGTGAAGGCTCTGGCCCTGGGAGCATCTACAGGTAGAAAAATGCAGTATAACCCATTTTCCTCAAGAAGAACATTTTCATGACATACATTTGAAACAGTCACTAGACACTTTCGTGAAATTACATATGAGGCACGGGTCTGAAGGATGCATGACTTGATGATTGGCAGTTCTGGTCATTTAACTATGTTTCTTTTAACAAATAGGCAAATTTTTCAAAATGAAATCAGTGTTTTGTAAAATCTAGTTGTAGTCTTTTTGCCCTCGCTTGTTTTCCTTTGCAACCAGCATCACTTCCTCCCACTTTTTTTGTCTGTATTTCTGCCTTCAGTTATGATGGGGTCGTTGCTCGCGGCAACCACCGAAGCTCCAGGAGAATATTTCTTTTCAGATGGTGTGCGTCTGAAGAAGTACAGAGGAATGGGTTCCTTGGATGCCATGGAGAAAAATAATAGTCAGAAACGCTACTTCAGGTGGTGTTGCTGTATAAACACTTATTCTGGAAAAATCTACAGTCAGAGGATGTCACTGTGACACATGTAGGCCTATCTCTTACTCTGTGTGAATGGTTCTGTGTTTCTGTGTGTCCAGTGAGGGAGATAAGGTAAAGGTGGCTCAAGGCGTCTCAGGCTCAGTACAAGATAAAGGCTCCATCCACAAGTTTGTTCCTTACCTCATCGCTGGTATCCAACACGGCTGTCAGGACATAGGAGCCAAGAGTTTGTCTATTTTACGGTAAGTGGGAAATTGTGTGTGTTTTTTTGTGTTTACTGTAAGTTTATCTTGTGTAAGGGCTTTTGGCTAGTGTGAGCTGTGTGTCTTTGTCCCAGGTCGATGATGTACTCCGGAGAGCTGAAGTTTGAGAAGAGAACCATGTCTGCTCAAATGGAGGGAGGAGTTCATGGCCTCCACTCGTAAGTCTGACTTCTGACGCTGCGGTGACCTTTCCCCCACCTTTACAACTCCTTCGTACTCCATGTGTCTCTTTTTTGTGATCCTTATTTCTCCTGTCTAAATATTATAGCGGGAGTGATGGTTTGAGGACGTCTGTCATCATCTGTTTCCTCTTGTTGTCTAAGCTTCACTTGTATTCAGTCCCTTTGTCAGAAACCTTTTTTTGTCAAATAATTGACCTGTGTTTAGCAGCATCAAATTGTCTTCTTTCTTCCTCTTTTCTTACCCATGCTATCATATTAGATATTCTTTTGTGCCATGTAAGTACAACCAAGCGGTCGTCACACCGCCATCCTTCTTTGGTTGATTCATCTCCATTCAAGACACAGACAGACATCAAAACACAGAAAATGCTAATACTTTACGTTTTTTCTATTCCAAATGCAGTTATGAGAAGCGGCTTTACTGAGGCAGGAGGAAGAGGAAATGCTCGATCAGGACCCAACGTCCCGACCCCAGCAGCTATGAGCAGATGTACCGGGCGCATGTGACCAAACTACAAACACAAAGCTATTGTTGCCGTAAAACATCCACTCTAAAATCTGACACCTCTTGTTTGTGTCCTCTTCTCGTTCTCCTGTTTGTTCTCATCTCTGATCCCTTTCAGGATAGACAAAACAACAAACTTTAATCCAAGCAGGACGTCCAAAGGAGAGCCAAAGAGTTACGCAACTGCACATGAACTCTTTGGCTGTCTTTCTCCTGCTGTGGCCAAGGTGTAGTGAGGCTAATGTAATTAACTACTCTGCTGATCCCTTTCAACAAGCAAATGCAGTGACTACTTTGGGATAAGCTGACCTAATGAGAGGCCCATTTCCCCATTGGCCTCTGAATTGGACCCTGATAGAGAAGAGTATACACTTGTATATACAGTGTAAAGCTTGCAGAGTTGCAGTCTTTTATTTCCAAGCTCATTTCATATGCCACATAAGATACTTAATTTTCTTGCAGGAAATCAGGCAGTCTATATTTTAGTTACATAAAAAAAGACAACAAAAAGCACCATATCTTTGACATATGTTTTGAATATTTTACATTTTATTTTATTAAAAGAGGAAAGAAACACAAATGTTTAACACATTTAAGATAGTTCTTTGCTGATGTTAAAAGCAGGCTGCACAAGTGTAAAATAATCTTAAATTTTATGTAGCCATGGTCATATTTTATAGCCTGCGACCTTGCATAAAGCTTACTGAGTCAAGAGTAAACATGTTGTACACACAGGACAGTTATGGTTTCATTGTCTTCTTACTGCACTTGATAGTAAAAAAGTGGTTGTTACAATGATGGATGCTCTACTCTGATCAACCTGCATGTAATGTGCTGCACTGTTGCAGAAGGGAGGCTTGGCATCAGCCTTAACTCACACAAGTTTGTAGGAAGGAGCGCCTTACAGGAGCAACCACATGTATTCTCACTCAGGATTACCCTCTGTTCATGTTATTTGGAGGAGGAAACACTGGACAGCAAACGGTTTGAGTGACGAGACAGGACAGTATCCATGCTTTACTTTACATTTATCTGATTATAATCCGTTTACTAGTATCTGATTATAATTACATACATTATCCCCATATTCATAATACAAATGAGTCTTGACATGTTATGACCTTCCATAATTTAATTTTGCAAAACTACATTGTTAATTATATGGCTATCAACTGTACATAATATATAATACAGATAGTTATGCGTCTTTTTTCAGGCTCAGTATTAAATAAATTAAATGGTGAGTCACTGGCATAGGGCTAGATTTATTTCTTTGTAGAATGATAGACAAAAAGATTATTCCAGTTTTAAAATATGATTTCTTCTTTTTCTAGAAGGTTCTCATCTTTGGTATTATATATTGCTCTATGATAAACACTGAATCTGAATTACGCAATAACTTCCAACCAAATAAATGAGCTATTGTACTATTCGTCTATCATCCACACTAAGGCTTCAGAATGATATTTACTGTAAATAGTATGACATGAATAAAGATAATTTTGACAAGGGCATTTTGATTTTGGTTTAACATTTTTTGTCCTATCTCCAGAAAATTGTGTTAATACCACTTGAGGTCAATATTGTAAAAATATAGTAAATATAATTTAGTAAAAATTAAAAAACGATACCACTCAAATGGTTGGCTAAGCAAGCAACACAAACTCATCCTGTGTAAATATGATTTTTCCTCAAATTTCCATGTTCATTGCACCACACTAAGAAAACATATTATCCTGTGTGAAAACTACTAAATACCTAAATGTGTTTTCCTATGATGGAGTATAAGTTTACCAACTCTGTTCACTTAATGGACATCAAGGTACTGATCATGTGATGGCAAAATATTATGCTTCACTGTCACAAACAGACTGTAGTTTCTAGCTCCCTCTCACAATGAGATTTTTAATATTTCTTCATATTGTTTACCAATGTACATGAAATTGTGTCTGAGGTGATACTATCACAAATGGGAAGAGGTCAAATGGAATTATCACATTATATGTTAATGAGCATGTTTTACTTTTTCTTTTGCGGAAAACACAGCAGTACATCAGCAGTGTTAAATGAAACTTTTTTTGAATTCATATTGTTTGTCCAAAGGGATATGAAGAACATTTTTCTTCATATTCCTTTCACAGACTCTTGGAGTTTCTTTTTGCAGGAGAGCTTCAATGTCAAAAAGCTCAACATGTCAGTTATACAAATATTACACCTCCTGAAGTGGAATGAGCACAGATTTAGATTTGAAATTTTACAACAATATTTTAAGGGCATAAGTTGCTGAAAACAGTGTGACAAAGTCAGCAGAGAATAAGTTGGGTCTACATATTGTATCAATAATGTCCATTGTCCTTTCATTAGTTAGGTAATTATTTCACCTGTATGACTTTTATGATGTACAATTTAAATCACAATCAGATTCTGCTATTTCCTGCTACAATGTTGGTTGCATTCCACTCACAGCTGGACTTCCTACAATTCAATGGTGTCACTGCAAACACTCAGAGCATCAATTTGTCTGCACACGTTGACAAACTCTGCCTGTACAGCCAGATCCCATTCCAGCTGTTTGCTTTCACTCAGGTGTTTAGTCCCTGCCAGTCGGCCAGAACCCTGGATGTCCTGGGAGGCCAAGCTCAGGGTTCGGTAACGCCTGTGGTAAGACAGGTGGGGAATTGCTCGTGGAAGACTGTGCTGAGCAAAGCTTTGCCCTCTGTTTGCCCAGGAATGTGAGCGCAGCTTTCCTGTCACCTTAGGATTGCTGCACAGACCCTGGGTTGATCCAGAAACACTATCTTTCCAGTCCCATTGCTCTGGTGTCTTGCTGTGAGATGTCAAAGAGCCTGGCTGTGGCTGGGAAGATCTAGAACTAGGCAGGGCTTTCTCTTGATCCATGTCTCCACAGGAAGATGTTCGGAATAAAGCATTTTCCACAGAACTGGGACCTTGCTTTGATGTACCTTGGCTAGGAGAACTCAAGGAATGGCTTGAAGAAGCATGGAACAGCCTTGGCAAACCAAAAATACTGTGCGAGAACAGGGACTCACTGAACAGAGCCTGGTCAATACTGCGAGACAAGTCTATGGGAGATGGGGGCCGCAGGTCCACAGTAGAGTCAGTCTCTAGACCTAAGCTATCCAGTGACGATAGCTCAGACTCAACTGCATTTTTAGGCTTATGAGGTGGGCTTGGGGGTGTAGGTAGAGGTAGTATAGTAGTCCGTGTTTGGCTGGATTTTGGGAGACAATCTAGCCCATTTCCAGGAGGATCCACAATTGAACAAAGAGGAAGAGCCTCTGACTGTCCCTTACTGATGACATCACAGACCACCAGCTTTTCCTGCTTACCTTGGGACCAGGAATCAAGTGTAGAGAGAACAGGAGAGTTTGCGCCTCCATGAGAGGGAAGGGTTAGCCCTCGTGAAGGGGAGCTGCAGGACAGGCGGGACCAAGATCCTGGCCGAGGGTGAGTTATGGTCTTGATCGAGGAGTTGTTGTGACAGAATAGAGGGTGTGTGCCGATGAGAGACAAACCTAGACACACCCCAATCTCGCAGAGTCTGCAGCCTACTTGGTAGCCCCACCAGGACCAGGGCTGGAACCCATATCCATCAACACCACCTAAACCAAGGGCATGCAGGATCCCATAAAGCTGTAGACCCCCACACCCTAACAAACACAACGAAGCTCCTACTCCAGCTCCTGCTGCCCTGTGCCAGTCTTCCACTTTGGCAAAGGGGCAATTTGCAGGTCGCATCACTTCAGGAGATCCTCCAGTCTCTCCATTGTCATTCAGCCTGTAGATGTGTTTTGTGTCGACTCTTATCAAGCAATAGAAGATGAGGTAGGAGCATGAGAGAAAGATGGTTAGACACACAAACAGACCATGAGGAGAGATCAGGATCATGGTGGGGAGGCTGTGGAAGAGCTGGAGCAGGCCAACACACCCTAAAGAGACTCCAAAATGCAACAGGGACACACACAGTAACAGGCGAGGTTTGGGCAAGGCTGAAAATGAGGTGGAAATAGCAAGTGGGAGTGAAAGACGCATGCGTGAGCGCAATGAAAGAAGGAGGAAGGCCAGGGAGAAGGCTGAGATCAAACAGGGAAAGGGTAACTCAGAGAGCATCAGAGAGCCCAGAGGGGGGAGACGGTCTTGGTGACTATAAGCATCATAGAGCAAACAGAAAGCTTGGATCCCTGCAAATGCTAGGAGGAACAAGTGCAAGAGGGTGAAGTAGGGGATTCCTGGTGGACACCGCAAGGGAAGGCCTAACAGACAGACCACAGAGATTAGGCTGAACACAGTGAAGACAGACCCTAGGCCATAGATGTGAGCTTCCCATGCAAATCCCCATGTGGCAAGGGCAGAGTTCCAGTCCGAATACAGAGGGACGTAAAGACCAGGGCTGAGAGCCAGAGAGGGGCGCAGGGACTCGTCGGGAGTAAAATCGTCTGGGTAGGTGGGAGTCCAGGACTGGTTTGTTGTTTTGCAGGGTGTTGCAGATGTGTCCATGTTACCATCAATCAAGAGTGTGCTACTGGTCTTTGAGACAGGCAGGCCATTGTGCCTGGAGTCATCTGTAAAACAAGTAAAGTAAAATAACATGTTACCAATGTATTTGTTGTGTCAACAGGTAACCAAAAGGGAGAAATATTATATAGTTGAAAGTTTTTAACTGACAGAGCTAGCACACTAAAATAACATGCTGAATATGCTAAACTTTACCTGCAGAACATCAGCAAAATACAGCCTTACTTTATTACCAGTGTGGCTCTTGCTATTATAGTTTTGCAATTTTAATAGGAATTTCCTAGCAATTTTAATAATGATGGTATAAATGTAACAACATAATGATCTTAACAATGAATACAGGCCAAAATGAATTATATTCACAGTCTTTATTGTCCAAAAAGAGAGCATGGTGGAATCTGTTGTGTGTGTGAAGTTAATCCATAATAAAACAGAGCAGGCTCGTAACTGGGAATCTCTAACTAGGTCACAGAGAGTGGGAGCATGAGCACGTGGTGTGTGTGTGTGTGTGTGTGTGTGTGTGTGTGTGTGTGTGTGTGTGTGTGTGTGTGTGTGTGTGTGTGTGTGTGTGTGTGGGTGTTCCTGTAAGAGAGAGAGAGATGTGTGTTGATTAGCCAGTATTGACCTCATTGCTGCTTTCATTTTGTGTGGCTATTACAAAGCATGATGAAAAGGTGTTATTCTATCTTTAATGTTGCATCCTTTCAGCAAGAATCTGCAGATGATGACCATTTATATGTGACCGTGTGATTGTGTCACTCAATAAATAATGTAAGCATCTCATTCTCTAAGTGAAATAACCACTAGAGTAAGCTGTGAAGCGGTGGGAACCCACTGGTTATAAATGGAATGCATCCTATTTGTGGTCCTCCATTAGTCATTGAGTGATTGTGTTGATGCAGAAGCAGCAAACAAGCAATGAAACAAACGGGAGATTGTCTCTGTAGTCACTTCAAAATCTACAAAAAAAAAATCATCTTGATGTGACACAAGTACCATTTGGTAGTTACTTAACAAATTGGCTGTTAGACTGAAAATTGTGCCTAGTATGAAATTCAAAGGCTGATTGAGGAAGGGTCATTTGTCACATATTTCTGTCAAAGCCCTCCTCCCCCTATGTGCTTGTGGACACAACACATCATTTACTTTGACAAGTGAGTGTTATCGTGTGTGTGTGTGTGTGTGTGTGTGTGTGTGTGTGCATGCGTGCGTGTGTGCGTGCGTGTGTGTGTGTGTCTGTGTGTGTAGTAAATACTGCATGTTCAGGTGTGCACCACATTGAATCATTGAATGTGGGTAATGGACACTGGTGGCAATGGGAATGAAGAGTTTCTACATTAACAAGAGAGTGGAGGACTGAGTTGGAGAATCTATGATAAAAGGACTGAGAGCACAAAATGAGGGAGAGAGGGTCGGGGAAGAAGGAGGGAAATATTTTTGAGGAGTGAAAGCTTGAGGGAGTGAGGTGATGCAAACCATCCTGTGAATGTAAAACAAGTGCCTCTGCCAGTGGAATGCATATCACAAACACTGCAGTCACACATTCACTTGGAGTCTTTTATTTTGGATATTTTTGAGGACGACACTATAAATCCTACCATTCACAACACAACAGGCCATATATGACGAGTGTTCACTGTGATTGGTGTCAGGTTCAGAAAAATAAAGAATGATGGAATGATGGCTTTAGGAGGGACTCTTACCTTTTTCTGCCTCCATGCTAACAGCTCCTCTGTGTACAACACGGTCAGTAATATCAACCAATCCATCTCCAGTCTCTTTCACTGGGACAGTCCCCTCCTGTGTCTTTCCCTGTGTGGTAACAGAAGGGTCCATGGTCCATGCCCAGCTGCTAGTGGCAATGGGCTGAGTGGTGTGCTCAGGGCTGGGCCCAGGTCCAACAGACAGCGGTGAAGTTGAGTCCTGGTCTGGTCCGTCTGATGGAAGTGAGCCAGACAGAAGAAAAGGTAAGTGGCTATCAGTTGTCTTGTGTTGCGAGGCCGGGAAAGTTAGCTGATTCTTTCCAGTCTGTGTAGAATTCAATATAGAGCCAGTGCTGGTCTCAGCTGGCTGATACTTGACTGTTTGTTCCTGGGTAGGTTGAGGCGGTACTGCTCCTGATGAAGACCTTATTGGTTGTTTACTTTCCTTAGAGGTAGCATCTTCTGTAGCACTATCTGTGGGTCTGGATAGGAAAAGTCCCTTCTCATTGGGATTCACAAGAGATGCCTCTGTGCTCTCTTGTAAATCAGTGTACTCCCCGATCACACCTTGTCTATCTGATTCCTCAGATGACAATAAGGGCCAACTCACAGGTAGACCCAGGAAGTCAACATTCTCGGGTCCAAACAGGGGATTCACCGGGGCTAAACCAGATCCATGCACTCTCTGTGACGGCTGTGTGAGATGCTGCACGGCCGTGTCTGTGTCTAGCTGTTGTGTTTCCTTGACATTTTCTCCAGTTAAGGCTGTGACATGAAGTGAGAGAGGCAATGAGAGGGGGAGGAGAAGATAAAGATTCCACAGATAGAGCATGGTGAGGGTCCGTAAACTCCACCGCAAAGTCACATGCTGTAGGTTTGTGGTGTTTTTGTCCAATCACATGTTTGACAGGTCTCTAAAGTCAGGTCTCCAAGTATGTTATGCTTAATACGCCTGGGAGATGAAGGAGAGAGGAGTCACTTACAAGACACAATCAGTGTAAACACTCATCAAATACTGTGTATTGTTAGGATATCTGCAATAAATAGCATTGGTCTCTGCATGTGGAGTACTAAAGAGCAAATACTGTATATGAAAAGCATTCCAGTGAGGTACATGTAAACACTCTAACAGCCTACACCTTTACCCTAAAAAGTCCTGTGACATACACACAGTACAAACATTAGTGTCAGTGATAGAGCTACATAATGACAGCGCATGAAGAGACATTAATTGCTCTTTTTCCCGTAGCCAGTCTCGTTTCAGCATTCTTACCTCATCAACAGCCCACTCTGCTGCAGCCTCTTTAAACATATATGCCGCTCTGTGTTGCTGCATGCCTGCAGTCTCTCTCTGCGTAGCACTCTGTGTCCTTTCATACTCACTGTGCTGTGCCCCTCTTCTCTTCATCAGACATTCGACACATGGGACAGACCCCACCTCCTCTTGACAACCCCCGCTGTCCCACACTTTGCCGCTGCGCTGATCTGACAGTGTGTTTGGCTGTTTGCACAATCCCATTCTCCTAAATCGGAGGCATCATCCACCCCACACTGAGTATCATCGCTTTTGTCGTTGCATAGGAACCCCTTCTACTGTCTCTCTTCCACACATGTAATCACACACATCCCTCTGGTGTTTATGATGTACAGTATGCATAAGAGAAGAGAAGAGAAGAGAAGAGAAGAGAAGAGAAGAGAAGAGAAGAGAAGAGAAGAGAAGAGAAGAATATGTTGTAGGGACATAGAAAAGCTCATCAACCAACAGGCAGACATTACCCTGCACTAAACTAACCAATGCTACAGATCAATACATGCCACTGAGTGTAATTTACAACTGATGCTGTGCCCTTCCTCTTAATAGCCATCACATCAGCAGCTCTGTTTGAAACATGTCACAGCAATGGACGAAGCAGAATTCCTCTTTGTATAGCATACATGCATAATGCATGATAGTGGTTACTTGTGTGTGTATGTACATACAGCACCTCCTATGAACCTAGCTCATGCACTTTTTAGCAAAGCATTGTTAAACTGTGACCTTGTTGCCATGCCAATTATTGAGGCAAGAGCCATGTGTAATCTCTCTCTGATGATGCCCTGTTACTATAGCTTTCTTTATTTTCCTCCTTCCAATGTTATCAGACATGTTCCTATGTTCTGTTTTTACCCAATGGGGGAAATCTAGTAGCCTCATGGCCTAATTCAATTCCCAAGGATGGTTCTAAAATAGACACTGATCCACATACCTTTGGATGCATTTAGAGCCAGAGAGTTTAAAGCACAGCCACACATTGTATTCTTTCTCTGGCTGGCTGATGTAAGGATCTGAAAAGTTCTGTTTTAAACTCTCCATTGACTACCACTGTTGAATTAGCAGGGCACAGGACTTTTTAAGCCAGGTTTATTGTTGTGTGGGCATTCTGCCAAATGCACATTGATTTTTCTTCTGTCCAACAAAAAAATGAGATAAATAGGGATCAAACTGCTTTCCAAACAAATCTGCCAAACATATATTTAGCTCAAAACACAAAGAGATGAAGACATACACGCTGAATCTGTATGCCAAGAATAATGTTGGCTGTGACAGCAAATACCACAGCCAATAATGAAGAAAGCAGTTTACCAACTGTCTCCTGAATTCTACCTTGCCTCTGCACAGGCTGCTGCTTGCAGGATAAAAAAAAAAACAACAACAAAAAAACCTTGCTTAAAACAATGAGATTCAGATTTCACATAAGACAGTGAAGGCTATTTCATTAGACAGTCAGTCAGTGGTGAAGATAGCAACTTCCCGAGGGGTGTGAATAACCCGCTGTCTGATGAGGATACAGGAAAGCACCAACCCAGCCGTAACTAAAGGGACTGGAAACGGACAATGACAGGCCAAACATATGAGCTCAGTGAGGGACATGGCCAAATTATTGCCGCCTCACACTTGCTATCCTAACTCATTGGGCAACTGGTTTCTGTTTAGACAAGTCATCCTCCAACAAGACAAAGTCAGCAGGGACTGGGGTCCAGCTGGGAATGTGGACAATCAGGACAAGACACAGAAACAAAGCTGCACAAGCAAAGAGGAGGATAAAAGCAAGCAATGACCCTGGTTAGGATAATGGATGTAGATGAGATAAAGTTTTAAAAATATATAATTTTTGTATGTTGAGCTCCTACTAAGCATGTCCATACAAGTATGATAATAAAAAGTCCAACAAAGGAGGTCATAGTGATCAGGGTAAATGTTAAGGTTATCCATGGTTAACATTATCATAATAATGTAACCCAAGTCTGGCTGATTTGTCAACATGATGACAATGTTCCACATTTAGAAACAAATCTTTGATTCTATCCTCAAATTTGCACATTTTCTTAATCTGTTTGTTCCTCCACCATTAGAAATACACTTATATGTCTTTGGATATTATGTGGAGGGAAAACTTCATATAATTGTTCTTTTGGCATTTTAGGGACTTGATGGCAGATACTATAGTATCGACTTTGTAACAAATAATTAATGACACTGTAAATGTTGGTCTGTATACAATATACTACAATGCCATACCAATACAACACCATTATATTAAAAAGAGATGTTACTGTAATATCTATGGACAATCTAAAATCATGACACCACAAACAATTGGGCCTATGATAAAGCCCCTATAAACACATCAGACTATATGAATCCCTAATGTCGAGTCACCAATGTCACCATAGATAGATAGATAGATAGATAGATAGATAGATAGATAGATAGATAGTTAGTTCACGGGCAGTCTGTTTCCGAAGGGGGGCAGCAGTTCGCCTGAGATGCAAATAAGGTCAAAACACCCATGAAGAAGAATTGCAAGCGCTGAGAAGACAGGTCTACGTAAATAAGTTTCATAACGACTGTTGACAGAGGACTTATGTTCAACGATGTGTTAGCATCACTGGCATTAAACCGACACCTGGTTAGTAACTTGGCCGGTAGACAAAATAAAGTAAGGGGCTTCAGATATAATTTTATAGTTACGAACACTTCATTCATTTTTTCATTCATTTATTCTTGTTCCTTGTTTCCTTTTTTTCTGCAGCCCCCCCCGCCCTTACTCCACCGGGCAGCCTGGCAGCAGCAGCTATGTTGTCTCGAACAGCCCTGAGCAGAGGAATTACAGCCCACCGCCTCAGTAAAAATGTCACTTTCTACGTGAACGAAATAGCATCTCCAGCCTCGGGATGTAAGACCAAAGCCTCTCAAGACCTTAAACCTCTCATGCTGATGCTGCCGTGGTTGGGTTCGCGTCCCCAAGCTGTTGCCAAGTACTGCGAAATCTACTTCCGCACCGGCTTCGATGTGCTTGTAGTGGAGAGTGAGGTAAGGACAATATAAATCAGTGACCGACAAAACACGAAGGATGCTATTGTACATGGTCAGTTCTGTCACAACCACAAATAATTGTCATCGACATCATGATGACTGACTCAGCTGAATTATTATGATTTATGCTGAAGTTTTAACAGCATAGATGTGGTTTCTCCTGCACTTAGTTAGCTATTAGCACTAGCTATGCCTCTATAGCTATCGGGGACTGGTTTTGTAAGTCAACTGTGTTCAAACAAGATAAGAGTTAATTATTAATCCCTTGAACTCTATTGGCAAAATTCACATTACATGCCTTAATATTCACTACAGATATTTTTTTCTTTTTGCTCAGATCTGATCTTTTTGTTGTGACTGTTCACACTTGTGTTTAGGAATGATCCACATCCCACATCACTGTGAACACACCTCTGGCTTGAAAACAACCCACATACACACATTTACAACAACAAACAAGACATATGCCACTGTCAGGGAGTGGTGCGAAGGTTAATCTCATAGATAAGTTGTTGTGCGGGTTGTATGGCAGTTGAGGGCAAGCCTGTGAAAAGTTGTAGCTGGAAGAGCAGCTATTGCAGGCAATTCTGTGAGTTGTGTGGTTGCAATGAGGGAGTCAGTACAGTCTGGTGTTACACTGTGGTCATCCAGTTTGGTCAGCATTAAACTGACCTAAAGGTGCAGTGAAGTACCAACATACATAGCAATGCACCATGAAAGGCAGGGAAGAAGAAGAGTGTAAGATGGTAAACCCATATGTAAACAATGCAGGTGTACTACTGTAGTAATCGCAATATAAAAGACACATAAGACACTGTTTGGCAAATAATCATCATTGTGATTTCATTGTGATTGGTCGTCCTAATGGAAAGTGTTTACACATCCCCAAAGACTCAAGTGATTCCACTTTCTGTTTGTTTCACTCACAAGGTGCAAGAGTTCCTTTGGCCTCGCTGGGGTCTGGATCATGGAAAGAGTTTGCTGGAGTTGCTCCAGAGCGAGCGCTTCGCATCCCGCCCACTTCTTGTCCATGCCTTCTCTATCGGTGGCTACACATTTGGTCAACTGCTGGTGCACGTCTCCCGGGACACACAGAAATATCAGTCGCTCACTAAGAGGATCAAAGGCCAAGTCTTCGATAGCTTGGTGGTGGGCTCTCTGGAGACGATGGCCATAGGTTAGTTCAGTGTTAACATAATTTAATTCATTCATATCATGTCATTAGTATCCATCATTATGCACAATCACTCATAAAGATGATACATGTATGAAAAGGAATGAATGTTGTTTCAGTGCAAATTAATTAAGTGTGGTTTTCTCCTTTCTGTCCAGGTCTAGGGAAGACTGTGTTTCCTCGTTTTGAGACTCTGGTCAAAAAGATAAGCATGCTGTACTTTGGCATGTTCAAACACCAAACGGTGGACTATTTTAACACAAGCATCGATGTGTTTTGGAACACTCCTATCCCTGCTCCTGCACTCTTCTTCTTTTGCGAGAACGATCCGTTAAGCGACGCACGATCTATGGAGGATCTGATTGATTACTGGCGGAAGTGTGGGATAAACATCACAGCAAAGAAGTGGGAGGATTCAACACATGCAGGTCACCTAAAGAGGCACCCACAAGAGTATCTGACCACCCTCGACTCGTTCCTCTCTTCACTCCAAATCACTCCGTTGAAGGCCAAAATGTAAGATGGTTTCATTACAACCTAATGCCATATTAGCTTGACTTTTCTTAAACTTAAAACTTAAAATGTGTGTTAGCTTATGGTGTGTTGCTATATAGATTCATCGTCAGCTATCAGTTCTGTTCATTTTAATTCAAGCTTGATGATTCCAAATTGGGACTGTGTGTGGGGTAAAGTTGTGCTTGAAAATAAGAGGTTGGGGGGTAGCACTTTGCAAAGTTTCTGCAGGAAGTACTGCAGTTTTGCGTCTTAGTGTGAATATAGCTCAAAGACTTTTTGAAACTTATGATTCATTGACCTGATTAATAGAGTCTCAAAGAAAAAGTGTGTTCCAATACCACAGCAATCACTGGTTATGGACAAAGATATTAGGACACTCAGGACAAACTCCTTAACAAAGCATCTGTTTTTTTAAACTTGTCTGACATTGTCTGAATTCTGTACCCTTGATTCTGTTTACACGTTGGTTGTACTCTCATCTCAGGAAGCAAATTGCTGCTTTGAATAAGTTGCATAGTAAAGGTGTAGAGTTAAATTTCTCACATTGGCACAGTGACGGCAAACACAGGGAAATGAAACCTGTCCAGTGTCTTCACCGAATGTCACGATGTTGAGAAACCTCTTCACATTACAGTTTCCAGTCAATAATGTATATAGCCAGAAAGGAGATTTATAGTGCAATACAAAGGTTATTTTGTGAAACAGAAAATGAGCCATTGTGCATGCTTTGTTTTTCTACTTTCTCTACGCAAGAACACACAACCTTTCATATATATGCAAACAATCTTCAGGGATCACTGATTGTTTTGACCCGTGCCATGAAGAATATCTCTTCTTCCACAACGAATTCCACCTTGTAGGTGTTTGTTGACCCTGCTGAACAATAACCATTTGATAACACCCTAACACCCTCCAGTTCACATGGCTCCTTCAGACAGAGGTGTCTCAAGAGGTTATTTTTTATACTTTCTTTACCAAACATGTTACATTACACTGATAACCTGTGATATCCATCAGTTATACGGGTGTTTTCCAAAACTGTCAGACTTTACAAAGGTTTACCTGTCTTCAATTTTAATGAGCCCCGTCTGCGTCTGTTACACTATACCAGATAACCTCCAAAATGTCTTGAAGGTGGTTGTTGAACACTAAAGCTTTGTCTTTCATAACTTGAACTTGAATACTTTATGTGCAATTATATTCCAAACAAGTTTTTGTCAACATTTTATCGTGCCTTTTGTGTGGTTTGGAAATAAATATGGGAGCAACTTTTTTGAGGTATGATGTTTTTTTCAGATTCATTTATAGAAAAGTCAAAAATGTATTTAAATGGAGAGTTATTATCAGGTCTGTGCTAAAGTGACATTATTGCGAATGCGCACCATTCATTTCCATCTTGAAGGTACTAAGAGAAGATGTACACACAAAAGTAATTCATGGTGACTGTAGTAATGTAGAACAGACTGTTTCCGCTTGGAAAAAATAGACTGAAGAGAAACTGGAATAGCTGTTACACTAGTCTAGTAAGCTACTTAACTTAAGCCCAGCTGTGACAAAGAACGATACAGGACTTCATTCCTACCATGTCACCATTCAACAAGCTTCCTCTGTGTTGGAACGGGAGCCTTACTTCCCTTCCTCATAGGCCAGACTGCTCACCTGGCCCTATGCATTCATTTATTGCATTTTTTTTATCACATCATTTACATTTTATATTACATCTCTTGTTAATTCTTCCAATCCTGTGTTTTTCTTTCACACCTCTGACCCTCACGGTAGACATCTGTATATACATAGTGTAAATTATTCATATATCACACACAGATCCAATGTACAGTTTATTTAGTTTTTTATTCTTTATTTTTCAAGCACAATTCTGCACGTTTGTGTAAAACTTTTAGCTAAAATCTATTTGACTCGCATTAAATGCACATTCTATATTGCAACATATTACTAGAAGTGTATTTAGAGATAATGTTAAAGGGTACACAATATTTAAAAGTATCTGAAAATGTGATGTTTTGGACCTGTGATGATGACATTATTTAAAGAAACGAGTTAAGGGTATTTCTTTAATCTCTATTCTTAATTATTTTTGTTAAATTGTACTTGTTTGTCGCCCACTGGATTTAATACATTTCTCTATTTATTTTGTGATTTATGTGAGGAAGCGGCTGCAAATGTCTAACTTACCTGACAAGCTGACACCTCCGGGGCCGCAGGCGGCGCCACTGAACAGATTTTTACTGGTAAACGCGAGAAGTGACAACTTCCGGTAACTTTCTAAGATGTCTGCCCACATATGTAAACATGCGATTAAATCCGACTGCTAATGGCGTGCAAGTTAAACTGTGATATGTTTTCATCCCGCTAGCTCGTTTGACATCGAATAGTTTAATATTGACGTCTAATGCTGGATTGTCAACAAATTAGACAATAGATTCTGAATTATCACCGAGCCACACAGGCTAACATTATCGTGCTAACGTTAGCTTGACAGCGCGGAGCCATGCCAGCTCAGACTATATTCGTTCGTTCTTTACCAGCTGCAGCTTCAAATCAGCGTCTTGAGGAAATATTTTCTGAAATTGGTCCAATAAAGCAGTGCTTCGTGGTCAGAGAGAAAGGTAATGTTGACACTCATTTATTCGGGGACTTTAGGTGCACTATACTTGATCTCCTTGCACTTATTGAATAGATGTAGTAGCTGGTGCTTACACTACGGCTTTAGTGTTGTCCCTCATTTTACCAACTGAAGCCAAGTGGAGATAGATCAGATAGACTGACACTTGGTCCTGTAACTGTTGAAAACTCTTTACTAAATAGTCACAACAACATAAGTGACAACATAAATAATTTATTTGCATCTGTAAACCAGGCACAGAAACATGTCGGGGGTTTGGCTATGTCACATATTCCATGGAGGAAGATGCAAAGCGAGCTTTGAAAGAAGTAAAAGAATACGACGGACAGAGAGTTTTTCTGTCAGTAGCGAAGAAAAAAATAAGAGACAAAAAGAAAACAGGTGCGTATGAAGACATGACCCATAAACAAGCAGTTGTTTGGAAGCGCTCTAGCACTATGTCTACTTGATAACCTTGCTCATCTCTTCATTCAGGACCTGAAGAGCCAAATGCAGCACCAAAGGAGAAGGAGCAAAAACCCAAGGGCTTCAGGAATAAACAGAAATCAAGACTTATCATAAGGAACCTCAGTTTTAAGGTGCAGTGAGCTTCAAAATTAACAAAGTCAAGAGTTGGCAAGCACACTTATCCATTCCCTGAAATTCATAGTTATTTGCCGAGAACACTGAGGACACTTGCTGATTGACCTGTGGGCTGTTTTGTGTTACAGTGTTCAGAAGATGACCTGAAGGAGGAATTTGCCAAGTTTGGAACAGTTCTTGAGGCCAAAATTCCCCTGAAACCTGGTGAAAATTTTTGAATTACAACCATGCTGAGCAACATTTGAATTGTCGTGTGACTGTGGGGTCACGTCCATCACGTATTTAATCTGTCTGTTTTTTTTTTTTGTTGTTGATGTTTTCTTGTTTGCATAGATGGGAAGATGCGAGGATTCGCATTCGTCATGCTCAAAAATGTGCCTGAGGCAGCAAAAGCGCTTAATGCTATGAACCTGAAGGAGATCAAAGGTTAGTGACCGAGACTTTAGTTACTGTTGTGAAGAACATGGTTTGTTGTTGTCATCCTACTTTGAGTAACAAACCTTTATCTAGTTTGGATAGTGTGACTTGCATATTTAAACATTATTGCGTTACTCACAGGTCGGCAGGTAGCAGTTGACTGGGCTATCCCAAAGGACAAATTCACTGCCACACAGCCATCCCCAATTGCAGGTAATTTTCTGCAAGAGTCGTCAATTACGTCTCTTTTTAATATCTACAACTCATTGAAAATGAAGAGAGAACACTTTTTGTGTCCTCGTAGTCATCAGACGGTATGTCACTCATCAAAGCAAAGAGGGTAATGATTAACAATGTTTTGTTTACCTCCACAGGAAATACGACTACAGTAGAGGCAGCTGGAAAACAGTCAGACTCAGAAAGTGACACTGAAGACGATGATAAAAGAAACAAACAAGCGGCACCTGCGAAGAAAAAGTGTGAACCCTGAATATTTATATGGTTCTGTTGATATGCGATGAGGTGTTAAAATCTGGTTAACTTTCCTGGTTAATTTTGTCTCACACCTTTCTACAGAGTCAATTCGAAACCAGCTGTCCAACAAGTGGATGATGATGATGATGATGATGATGATGATGATGATGAAGATGATAGTATGGAACAAGACAGTGAGGATGACGAGGAGGAGGAGGACGACAACGACGACGATGATGATGATGATGATGCGTCCCAGGAGGGAGAAGACGATGATGATGAGAGTAGCCTTGATTCAAATGAGGATCAAGATGACAGTCAGGATGAAGATGAGGAGGATGAGGACGACGAAGAAAGGGGATCAGGTATACATTCTCAGTAGATATTTATGCACGTATTGTAAATACTTTCTTTCATGAAAGAAATGTTGAAATGTTGTTTTGACCTGGTGTGTCTGCTGCTTTTTACTCCAGCTCAGAAGAAAGCCTCGAAGAAACTTCTTCCTTCAGATGTGAAAGAGGGAAGAACAGTTTTCATCAGGTTGGCAATTCTTCTCCCAACTCAATCTTAAACCTGCTTTCGTTTATTTCACTCTATCTCGTTTCTCAATTTAAAAAAAAAAAAAATCCTTGTTATGTTATCACTATCTATCTGAATTAGGAACCTGTCCTTTGACACTGAGGAAGAGGGTCTTGAGGAAGTTCTCCTAAAGTACGGAGAGCTTAACTACATAAAGATTGTTCTCCACCCAGACACAGAACATTCAAAGGGTCAGTCATCAGTGAAACAGTCCTCTCTCTCGTGTTTTAGAAAACGGGCTGATTGACTCATTTTGGGTTTGTTGTTTCGCCAGGTTGTGCATTTGCTCAGTTTAAGACTAAAGAGGCTGCAGACAAATGCATGGCTGCAGCACAGGACGAGGCAGAGGTAATCTGCAATCTGTAATCTGCATGAATTCTGAATAATAAACCATATATATTCCCTGTATCTGCCTTTTTATAGTATGATATCTGTTTCTGTGTTTTGTGCAATGGGTTGATGCCTTGTTGTTACGCTGTGTTGTTTGATGCAGAATGGCGGCATCCGTGTAGATGGCAGAAAGCTGTTTATTGTGGCAGCAGTGAGCAGAGAAGATGCTGCCAAGCTGAAGGTCAATAAGGCGAAAGTGGAGACGGGCACCAGGAACCTGTACCTGGCCAGAGAGGGATGTGAGTAAACCCATTTCATACTCCTGTTTTCTCCTCCTTTGTTTTCTCACTCAGCTTTACTTTTTACCCTTTCGTCTTACACAGAGTTATTTGATTGAAGGGTTTTGCTTCATGCAGATTTGATGTAACATTCATAGCATTCCACATGAAAACTGTGAACCAAGATATCTCCATGTGAGATGCATGCCATGTCTGACTTGTGAGGTCCCTATTACAGTATTAGAAGTTGTCACACTACATTGCTGAACTGATTCTAGATCAATTCTAGTTCTTAAACTGTTTGTCATTCTCTTTTGCTTTCAATGCCCAGTGATCCGTGCTGGAACCAAGGCTGCAGAGGGTGTACCTGAAGCAGACATGATCAAAAGAACCAGAGTGAGTTTCATCAACACGATCTTTAATGCATGATTTTGAGAGATTTGTAAGCATGTCTCTTACCCCTGATTCACCTCATGTATTTGGTTTTGTCTGTTTCCTTTAGTTTGAAGAAGTAAAGAGGGCCAAGCTTCGGGACATAAACGTGTTTGTGTCAAAGACTCGTCTGTGTGTCCATAACCTGCCCAAGTCGGTGGACAATAAAAAACTCAAAGCCCTCTGCCTTCAAGCCATTAAGGGCGGCAAGGGAGTCCGCATCACAGAGGTGAGAAATCATGGTATGCCGGTAGACATTTCATTGAAAATGGCAGTGCTGAATAGATAATTATTTTACTACAGTTTTGGAAAACATTGCTATTTGGCAGGTATAGAATTAAAAACATTGTGTCGTTGTGCCCAGTAGGGGGTATCGTTGTCACCCGTATAACACCCGTTTTTCCTTTCAGTGTCGGGTGATGTATGACAAGAAGCCACAGAAGGGTCAGACGATGGGACAGTCATTAGGCTACGGCTTTGTCCAGTTCCAGGACCATGAACATGCTCTCAGCACACTTCGTTACCTCAACAACAACCCTGATATCTTTGGGTCACACAAGGTGCTTTTTTGCATTGGAGTGCTTGAGTGCTGAAATCATTATCAGTGTGTTTAAAATCAGCTTTGTTCTAAATGTATTTATTTGTTTGCTATTTATTTCCTTTCCTGGTCCAATCTTGTGTCATCCTGCAGAGACCTATTGTTGAGTTCTCCCTGGAGGATTCGAGGAAACTGAAAATAAAGGAATTGCGACAACAAAAAAACAAGGTGTTTCTTTGTCATAGTTGCCACTTAGAATTCCCGTTCAAATTATTATTTTTTTTTTCAATTTCTAAATGGAAATTAATCCTGTGTGGTTGTTTTGGCAGCAGTTTTTCCAAAATCATCCTGTGAAAGGAGGAGCAAAACCTCAGTCCCAGCCGGCTGGAGATGGAGCAGGACCTAGGAAAGGTGGAGGAAAAGCACAGTCCTCATCAGAGCTGACAGGAAACGAGAGAAGTATGAAAATATTATTAGGCAGTTGGACATGAGGTTTTAATCCACACGGGTTCAAATGGGTTCCTGTTCTTTTGGACACACCCCAATCAGTGATGTCACAGTTTATGATAGGTGATGGAGAACACCTGCTGTGATACATACATGCTGTTCCCTGTTCTATTAAGCATGTAAAAAAAAAAGTGATGGGGAAAAAAAATGACACACTGTCACAGGACAGATACAGTACAGCACACTAGTGCTGAGGAGAAACCATATTTCCTTTAACTGGCTGTAACACTGGATTAAACTCAAACATAAGCCTTTTACATTTGCTGTTACCATTTACATCCTTCTTATTTTTGATTTTTGATTTTTGCTCTGTCCACTTTTTTCCTGTGTTTATCAGCTCCCCCTCAAAACCAGAAAAAAGACAGAGGCTACTCCGGCTTCCAGACCAACCCTGAGGTCGAGCACATAGACTTGGAGAATGGAAAGAAACGAAAGAAGGTTCTACATCTGCCTTCTCATCGGGGACCTAAGATCAGGTGCAGTTTTTATTACCTTTACTAGTCTCATGTCTGCTATACTCTCCCTGCCACTCTGTGTTTAAGCAAATAGAAAGTGACAGAAAAAAAATTCATAACACTGACATTTGTAGGATATGCGTGAATCAATTTTCAGTCAATTTATAAAAATTAGACACATTTGCAAAAAAAGCATTAGAGAAATCTCCTTCTCTCTTATATCAACACAAGTAGTAATTGTGGTACCAGGGTACAGACATGATGTAGCACTGCTTGATCACTTTTTTTTTTTTTTTTTTTAACATGAGTGTCTTGGTACCACACTTGTTGCTTGTGTCAACATTGTATCAGTGAATTTTGCTCTCATTTGTTTGCCAATCTGCCTTAACCCAAGTTCACTTGCTTAAGTATAAGAACCGAGCAGTTTGAATCCTAAAACTTCTTTGAATATCATTTCTTGTATTATCTGGCTAATAATAACTCAAAATCACTCCAGTTACCACAAATGTCGAGTAGTCTTTCCCAGCTTGTCTAACTGATGTGACCCGTTTTGTGCTGTCAGATACAAACCACAAGTTTTAGACTGCCATGTAAAACAGTAGAGAAACATTGCCTCTGAAAACCTGAACTGAACCTGAACCTGAACTGAAACTGTATGAAAATACTGACTGTGACTCAACAGTGAGCATCAGGACTAAGTTACAGACTGTGAACTGTTGTCTTTTGCAGAATGCGTGATAAAGGAAAGCAGCAAGCTCCACCACCCAAGAAAGCAAGACCTGGATCCAACAGGAGAGAGCACCAAAGACAACAGATGGAGAAGCCCACACAGCCCAGAAACCAGGTTTATACATATTCTGTCGTACTTGCTTATTCGTAATCTGGGGTCATATTCTGCTGAGGCACTGATTTATTAGAAAAAAAAAATGAACTGGATTTAAGCATTAAAAAAATGCTGCAGCAGATTTACTGAAGACTGCTCATTCATGTTTTCTAGTAGTTTAATCCATATGAAATATTTCTGTTTTGGCGCCACCAAGTGAAATTGTAGTGGTATTACCACAATACTGTCTAGAAGAAGATTGGCAGAAAAACAGCAGGGATTTTATTTGAGAAAATTACATTAAACAACTAGGAAGTCAGTTGAAAGTAATCAGGTATTTCACCATGTGTTCTACACATGATCTGTGAAGTGTTAAGTCATGCTTAAATATGGATTCTCTCAGTTTTACACATTATTAGACGTGCGCGCAGCCCTATGTCTATAAGACCACAGGGCTAACTTTAAGTTTAAGAGATGAACATGAACAATAACAACGAGGATAATTTTGAAGTGAGTTTAGAAACAATTTCTCCATCACACTTGTGTTACTGTGGCTAACACCCTGATCTTTCAGTCATACTTGATTAGAACCTTGTTTAGAGTACTGGTGGTGAAGTGATCATTTTTTAAAATTTTTATAGAGTGTTAGCTAATGGCTATAACACTACAATGCGAGCTAATGTTAGGCTAACAAGCCAACACAGAAAAGCTGAAACTAAAAAAAGCGCTGAGAAAGTGCTTTACGGGAGAGGAAGGCACATCGGCTGCTCTGTGCCACAGGAGGAAAGGATTTTTTTTTTTTTTTTTGTCTTTTTACTTTGTAAATGCATTATTGCATGATCTGCCCCTTTTCAAAGAGCAATTTCTCACATATCTTTTAAATGTGGCTGATTTTAGTTTTAAAATGCACTGATAATTTCAAATCGCTGGAACTGAATGAAACAAAACATGTTTGAGTGTAACCATCTTTGATTTGATGTCATGACATTTTGAAAGATAACGCTGGTAAAGGCCCGCAAAGTACAGTGTAACTCTTCCCAATTTACTGTGTAATTTCTTTGTACTAACAGTGTTCCAGTACCGTAATACTGATACATACATTAGGTACAAGGGAAGAAGATGTGAAGTCAGGAGTAAAGGGGCTTTTGTACTGACACTGCACACCATCCACTGTCAGTACAGAACAATCGCACTGTAAATTTGGAAGGAATACTCTGTATGTTGCAGGCTATGATCTAAAGCGTTAACCATCACGATCACACATCTTACTTTGAGCACTAATCTCTGCCAGCAGTGCTATTTCATTCTCAGTTTTGTTTTTAAAACGGTAGCCTGTCAGTTTGGTGATACTTTATCAGAGGTGTCCTGTTACACCTCTTAACTGTCTTTATTTGGTTTTGTTTTTTCCAGAAGGTTAAAGCAGAAAAGAAACATTTCAAGAGAAGGGACGGAGACCCTTTTGACAACCTGGTGGAGCAGTACAAGAAGAAACTGATGGGTAACAATGACAGGAACACCATTATCAAAAGAAACAAGTGGTTTAATAGTTAATACTGTGCGTGTGTGTACTGTATATTTGTATTTTTGTGTGTGTGAAAGAGAAAATGTGCTGGAATCTTAAGTCTTTAAGGCTCCATATTTAACATCCTGAGGTTTTACAATAAATACAATACAATAGTTCTTTTTTTTTCAGATTATACAGTATGTGATACCCATCTACTGTACGGTTACTTAAATTCCATCATCCTGTTCCTGCATTTTCGTAATCCATGCTCATGGAAACACGGAGCAAACTATTTTACAATCCATGTTTGTTTATTACCACGAAAACAAGCTGAATTATGTAAGGATAGAGTTTTTCTGTGTATGTCTTTTTAAGAAAATATACAAAAACACTTGAATTAGTGTTTTATTGTTAATCTTTACATTTTTGTATTAAATCCTCATTTGTTTCAGGATTCAAAGATGTGTCAATTCCTGATGATAGTTGCCATTTCATCGACTTTTTTTAATGTTAGTTTCAGCAGAAGTTAATCATAAGCCGATAGCTCTGGATAAACACCTCCCACCAGCCTGAATATACAAGTGGAGTAAGAGATGGACAGCCACAAATGGCATTTAATATTAACCAGGTCTGTGTAGGCGTTTTCACTTTCACTCTTTCACTCATTTCACAACACTGACAAACTTGCTCAGACAAAAAGATCATTTTGTTAAATATTTATTCATAGTTTAAACCCATTAGTTATAAAAAATACCATCAACTGTAAAAAAAAAATATACAAAATGTCTAATGCTATAAATAGTTATTTTGGAAGAGCTGATGATATTGCACTGAAAGTTGCCCTTTACCCTTCCTGTTCTGTCCTAGTTCTCATGCAAACACATCTGTCACTCTTGGCAAGTTTCCTCCTGGTTTTTAGGAATTTCCAGACATGACATCACTGTTCATTGTGATGCTTCCTTATGTTGCTGATTCAGCTTCAGGACTGAATTAATGTTAAATTCTTTTTTCTTTTTCTTTTTTTGACACGACATCGGAGTCATAATACAAACTATAAGAAGCTGATTTACCTTCATGTGCAAAGTATGCTGTAGATCAGTTTGCATACAAACATTCTTATGGAAACAACACTTTTGCTGCAGACATACCAATGAAGAGACAATGTTACAAAATACATATTTTATAGATAAAGTAGATAAATAAATATGTATATAAATAAGTGCATGTTTAAGAATAAATTTCCTTCAAAACACATTGCAAAAGTTCAACATGGCCAGGGGGAATGCTAAGTCAGACATCACTGATGCAAACTTATCCAGAGAATCAGGCCAACAACTTATAAATATTGGTCCTAATGTCCATTTTTCAGCAAGTCTCAAGATGATCCAGATTTTTCAGCAGCAGATTGAGGAACTCTTTCACTCTCATGAGAGCTTCGATGCTCACCGTGTGGATGAACTCTTTTCGACTCTGTAGTTTTTGCAGAGGCCCCGACACTGGAGGCTTTGGCCGCTGCTCACTGCAGTGCCCCTGCCTCCACTGATTGAGGTAACCCGTCAACGAAGAGATGTCCAACTTGACCTGGGAGACCCCGTTAAGGGTGTCAGAGATCAGGCTGTTGTAACCCTCCAAGACTGTCACTATGGAGGCGGGTCCATCCAGATCATCAGCAGGCTGACTGAGTGTGAGGCCAGCAGGGACCTGCAGCGAGAGAGACAACACCATTCAGTCCAAAAACACTTCAACCCCTGTAAACATTTCACAGTCTGTCACCACAAACAGAACTACAAATATTACCTGCAAGTCTTTGTCCAGCCTGACAACCAGCTGTTCAGCCATCCATTTCACTTTTGATTTCATCTTCACGACTTCCGTTGGCAGAGGAGCAGCTGTGCACAAACTTAAAGCTTGCAGCAGAGAAAACAGGAGAGCCAGAGTGTAGTCCATAGTCCCAGAGTTGTACAGAATTGAGAACAGCACTGTATGCCTAGGAGGAGAATGGAATTGGACATGATCAGAGATTGAGCAGGTCACTCTACCTTTTTATGTTGTTTGTAGATCTTCATCATTCATTTGCTGTTTCACCATTGTGTCATCTCACTAAGACAGCAGACATGAGTTCATATCAGCATGTCATCAGTTTATACTTATCAACATGCTTCCTTCCAGTAATTTACTCAATATGTTTGATTATGGCAGCAAATATTTGTGATAGAGACACCTGTGAATTTCTGGCTTTGTAAATGGTACAAAGATCACTGACTTTAGTTAACGGTGTCTTTCTCAACGCCAAGTTTTCCACGCTACACGCATCTACATCTATGCTACAGGCTCTGTAAAGAACAGACCGAAGGGTAAAAGCTGACTAAAAAAACAACTATGATACACACACAATAATCAACAAGAATTTCTCTGACATTAATTACAGATACATGCAGCGTTTAAAATTCCCAGAGGAGCTATTAAAAGTTAAAAGTTGAACAAACTGACTAATGGAGAAAAGACCATGTGTGATCTGTGAACACAGATGGTGAAACAAAGAAGGAAGAGCTGAAGCCTGAGAAAAGGAGGTGGTGAATGAGATGGAGATGGAGAGGAGAGTTGGCCTTACCTCGGCTGGTGTCCGTGTTGTATGCCACTGTTAGGCTCCATCAGGATATCTTATAGTGGAGGGCTGTTGACTCATCTCTTACTCACCTCTCTCCGACCCCCCGATTCCCCCCTCACCCTCCTCCTCACTTACCTCTCCCCATCTCATACCCCTGAATCCCCTGGTGGCACTGCAGGGGACGGGAGGGCAAGTTGAATATGCAAAACATTTTTTTAGTAACTATCCTGTGACATATTTGAGTCACATAGCAAAAAAATTTACTGTATTTTATCAAGATTAGAAGTGTTTGTGGATGAAGCTGATTTTTCCCTTTAGAAATAGCTGGAAAATACTTAAACATGTGGCTCAGTCTCTCAGTAGCCACTAAACAACTTCATTGGAGCTGTAGGAAGTAAAGTGTTTTGGTCAAAAGTATTTGAACAATAGTATTTGAAAATTAAGGAAAACACTACATGTAGACATAGTAAATCCAGAATTACACAACATCTCCATATATCCATGCAAAACCCAGAATACTGATGAACTACACAACAATCTTTGTAATCTAATTATGTGACTGCAGCTTGACTGGCCAAACAGTCACCATGCCTTATATGTCCTATCCTGTTCTGACACACACTTATCTTCACTGCTAAACATTGCATAATGCCACCAGGGTCCAACAGTTAATGCCTGTATTTATTTAGCATGTACCACAACAGAGTGTGTCCAGGCACACGTGGTGTGTGCAGTAGCAGGATATAAAGACAATAAAAAAATAAAGAAACACTTGTTAAAAAAAAAAGAAAAGACAAGACAATACAGCAGTGATATGAAAGCGATATAGATATTGTTTGAGAATAATTGATTGTTGTTTGTCTAAATACAAGGAGCCCAGTATAACAAAGATCCTCACTGGTATCATGTTTATTCATGGAATACAGAGCTGCAACTTTATAATTGTATTTCATTTACTTTTTTCATATTTTTTCAATCAGTTTCCTGTATACACAGATTGATATCAAATATCTTCTTTTTTTTTATTTTTTTTTTTAGGTATGTACGTGTATGATCTTGTTGTTGGTGACTACCAGCCACACGTACAATATCTGAGTCACAACATAATACACATATACTGTGACATTTGAAAAGTGTTTGCAATAATAAGAACATGTAAAAACAAAAAAACAAAAATCAGCCAAATTTTCATGCAGTTTAGAATCTCAGACACAGACAGAATGGACTTCCCATATGCAAATGTAATATATATATGTATATATATATATATATATATATATATATATATATATAAAATAAAACAGATCAAATATAAAATAAAAATCAGGAACAATTTCATATACTGACTCATATGTCTGGCCGATGCAAATATGTATGTTTGTGTACGTATGCTTATATTGTACATATTGCCTAACTATATATCCATCCCAAAGCCTGTCAATATATGTTGATATTATATACAGAAGGGTCCAAAACTCTCAGAACACTTTCCCAGAATGGAAAGACAGACTTGTTAAAAATTTATGAGAAATTAATAAAAAAAACCTACATAAACATGTAGAATTTTTATATTTATGTTGTTTTAATAAACTTGCACATATAAATTAAATATATATCGTTAGTATATATGCTTGCAACATGTTGTTAAAATTCATCATGGAAATTTTAAATATACAAATTTTATGATGGTATGATATGTTATAAACTTATACCTTCTTATATCCAGAGGATGTATATATGTATATGTATATGCATATATATGACAACGATATGTATGACATTAATGGCAGCATCATTCTTGACATATACAGTATGTCATATATTACATTTCTGTGTGGGTTCAGTTGATGTTTGTCTGAACACTTGCACATTTAACCCTAGGAAATCATTATGGATGAGTCTGACAGCTTCGGAGTGACACGTCCTGAAGGTTGTTCAGGCAGCAGTTGCAATTCCTCCATAAGCATCTCGAGGTAAGCAAAAATGGTTTTATATAAACATATATTATTTTGTGGGTGGCACATCACAAAGTGATTGTGATACGTTCTCAGAGATTGTGTACTGTGCAATACGCTACGAATGATCAGTTCCTCCTGTGTCAGAGAAGTAGTAGTTGCACATATATGATATGAATCTGCCTAGGATTCTCTTCAGTCTGGCCTCCATTTTAAAGCAGTTGCTGGAATTAAATTTTGCTTAATTTCTACATTAGTACACATCACTTTTCCTGTGAACTGAGTATGAGAGATGCAGTCTTTCAATAAACAATAGCACTGTCATGTTAAAACAATACATGCCAGATGTTTCTAATGAAGGCCACCTGTCTTTTTAGATAGACATATGAGGATGCATTTCTCGCCCATTTAAGTTTCATGTTGCTCTAATTCACTGCTCTTTTTGGAAAACCGTTTTGACATCCATGTATTTTTCAAGCAGAGCGGCTATTTTTGGAAGCAGATTTCTGTTGTTGCTCTGTGGAGAAGGAGGGGAGTGGCTGTGCAGAGCAAATTTATATTTCTCTGAAGCAAAAAGAGGTCAACGAGGCCAAGCGTGTGTGTATGTTGGAGGGGAGGTCTGCAGCGAACAAAATAGGACCACAAAGGCAATTTCAGCTTCCTCTCAAGGTAATTTACAGTAAATCCTACATACTGTTAATAACCTCATGCACATGCTCCAATGTGCTGTCAGCACACACGCACGCAGATACGGAGGTCTCATAAAATGATTAACACATGGTCATGGCCACGCTTTGGGCAAAATAAACAGACGTGATAGGATCTGAAAATTGTTGGGAAAAAGACACAGCAAAAGACATATTTCTGGGAAGAAAAGCAAATGGGGGACAGTGTCCCACTTGTATTTTCAACGGGAATAGTGCATTATTCATGAAAGAAAAACATGAGGGAATGAAGTGACTGATGAAGTTGGATGGACAGTTTCCAAATATTGTTAAAAGTTTCTTAAGAGTTGTTGTGCTGGGGCTTCTGGGAGCTCTCTTGCCAGCACCAGAACTGACATCTGGGATGAATAAAAGCTTCCTGTCGCTAAAAATATTTTTAAATCAGAATTTTGTCTGCCAGTATGTGGCGTCTCAGTATACAGGAAACATTTTAAGATAATGTAGTGGTCAGTCAGATGAGGTTTTGACTATCACTTATTGCTGCCACACAGGGGAATACAGTTCCAATGTATCTCCTTTGCAAATAAACAGCGTCATGCTTTATTTTTACGTTTGAGATGGATCTGTGTGGTATCTGCGGTGTTATCAATTTGACTACAAGAGTCAATCTAAATGTTCATGCCTCTTCTAGGTGCGGGAAAAAAAAAAACTAATAAAAAGGGTGAATCAGAGTGATTTCCTCTTAGCCAGACAGAGTTGTTAGTTTATGAGTATGAGTTTATGTGTTCATTTAGCCCACAGTTCTCAGCATGCACAAACTAACTCCAAACAGCAGAGACACACTTTTGTGGCTTTATTACGAACTGCTACTGAAACAAACTGTGGCTCCAGAGTTTTATGTTTGGATTCCCCTTTGATCATGGAGAATCGATCAGATTGCATCCCTGCAGGACAAGAAGTCACCTCCTGGAGTGTGACAGAAGGACACTGCAAGGCTTCATTAATAATTCATGAAGATTTTATGTCACATGACTTATGGGAGCATATGAGTCACATGCTCATAAGAAGTGTGTGTCCCTCTTGAATCAAACTATACACACTTGCGCACACTGTAATACTGCATGTATAGTATCCATTAACCCTCTAATGTTAGGAGGACGGATGTGATTACTTCAGCAGTGAATGACGTAGAATAATATGCTGACCTATAGGTTAACAGCGTGTTGCCGACCTGTTCCCCTAGCAGCAGAGGGTTGAGCCATGTTAATAGGTCTCGTAGCATCGGATTACTTGTCCAGATGTAGCATGGAAACCAGGAATTCCACTCAGCAGGAATTGCCTGGATGAGTCACAGGAATGACGAGAATTCACATTCAGTGATCCTGGACGTGCCGCCCTGCAGGATGGAGTGTTGTTTTCACCCCCAGACACTTGAATGACGTTAATGCCGTAAAACTGGTCTGAAAAGACCTGAATCAGCATTTCATGAGCCAGAGCTCAGCAAATGTCCAGTCAGAGCATCTTTAACAAAATATGTTAAGCAAGGCTGGGTTGTGTGTACAGAGCAAAAGTGGCCTATTACAAAGGATTAAGTGAAAGGCTTTAAACACCTCAGGGAATTCATGCAGACTATAACTTGTAAAAGAAAAGTTGGCTGCTGATGCTCTTTCTTATATTTCTGTGAATGTTGAATAATACATCTGACACGTGTTTACTGTAATCCCCATTCCAGCCAGTCACATGACTCCAGTGTAAAGTTTTTGATTGGATTTACCAAAACTGATTTATAATAATCAGGTTTACTATAAGGAGTTGATTTATCTTTACACAATTAATACAGAAAACTCTCTGCACCACACCGAGAAAAGACCACCACTGAAGATAAATTGACTTCATGTGATAGTTTACATGAATTTACTTTAAAGGAAAACTCTACATTTTGTATTATTTTGTCGACTCTTTTTGTGCTACGGGATGTTGTGTGCACGTTGCTATAAATTCATTCCCAAATATTCCTTCATATAGAGAATGCTGAGTATCTTGAAACATGACATTTTAAGAAATTTTAAGAATGAAAGTAAAGGTCTGAAAATAAACCATCACATAGACACAATGCGTATTCATTTGAACACCATGTCTAGAACTGTGTAAATTTATTTTACTTCAAAACAACCAGAAAGTCTTTTCTTTGCCAGGGATGTGTCTATGTACACGGTTACAGAAAATATCAATGGGATAAGTGTGTAGTTATTAGTTTATGTGCACCATGTTCCGTCCACCCAGCTCTTTTCAAAGGGATTTATTTAATATTTAAAATGTATTATCTGATATTTGTAAATGTGTACTGAGATTCCTGAAAGAATATATGTGTATGGCCCTATAGACAGAGGCGGACAAAGTACACATCACTTGAGTGAAAGTAGAGATACTCCTGGTCAAATATTACTCCAATACAAGTAAAAATGCTTT